TTGCTGTCAGTGAAATAATTAGCAAGTAAGCCACCACCTTGTCCCAGAAACTATCTGTGCTCCAGCAGGAGGGTATTCTCTTACCTATTGGGCAGTGGGTGACCCATCCCAAATCCACAACTCACCACCTATTTTCGGTGCCTATTCCTGGTACTTCTTGTGTCTGTCCAGGTTCACTAACGAGCAGGTGTGACAACAGAATTAAACATGCAAGGATTTTATCAGGGGAAATGGGCAGGGAGCTGGGACAGGTTGAGAGAGCCATCAGCCTGTGAATCAAGTCTGACCTCAAGTGAAGGAGAGAGGGAAGGGAGTGTGTGGAAGCATCCCATATTACCACACAGTCCAACAAAGAGTCAGCAAGGCTGTCAGGCTGTCCTTGAGCCAAAGATTATCACTAGAGGACTCCCATTGTCACCCAGGGACAGGCCTGCCTTGGTATTCCTGCCATGGTCGGTCATTGGGTGCAGCCCATGGGTAACATGGCTTTGGTGCCAATGCTTTGATGGGTTACAGAGTGCAGAAGTTGGGCCCTTGGTCAAATAAGCTCCCTATTGTTGGAAGTCTCTCAGGTGCATTCTCATGGTCACTAGGGGATTAACTCACTTTTCCTTAGGAGCACCCTGTAAGATGGTACTCTGGATATTATCTTCTCAGAAATGAGCAAAATGAGGCATAAAGAGTTTGGGACACTTGTCCAAGACCACATAGATGGGAAGCAGAAAAGCCAAGACTATTCCTAGAACTAAATTCAAAATTTCACTTTCAGTCCCTATTCTTCCACCTCCTTCCTGCTGCCCATACTGATGGCTGTTTTCCCTGACACCCCTTGGTGGCACCTCATCATTGTACCTGTGTGCACAGGAAAAGCACCTGTGTCCCTAATGACAGTGCTCTTTCCTGCACTCTATTTTCTGTCTTCTGATTTCCCCAGAGACACTAACTGCCAGGTTCTGGAGGATACTTTATTCCAGAATCCTTATAACACCTGGGTGTGGATGGCCTCTGCACAGGGGCTACCTCTTAGGCAACAGAAAAGAGTGAGTTATGCCCTGAATTAGTTAACTTTTGCTGTGTAACAATTTTATCACAAATGTGGCAGCTTAAAATAACATGCATGTGGCCAGGCTTGGTGTCTTACACCTGTAATCTCAGCACCTTGGGGGCCGAGGTGGGCGGATCACAAGATCAAGAGATCGAGACCATCCTGGCTAATATGGTGAAATTTTTGTATTTGTAAAAATACAAAAATTAGCTGGGCCTGGTGGTGTGAGCCTGTAATCCCAGCTACTCAGGAGGCTGAGGCAGGGGAATCACTTGAACCCAGGAGGCGGAGGTTGCAGTGAGCCAAGATCATGACACTGAACTCCGGCCTGGGTGACAGAGTGAGACTGCATCTAAAAAAAACCCAAAAAACAAAAACACCCACACATTTATTATCTCAATATTTCTATAGGTTTCTATTCCTTTCCCTCATTGAGAGTGACTAGGGACAGCTTAGCTAGGTACTCTTTTTCAGAGTCTCACAGGCTATAATCAAGGTGTTGGCTGTGGCTTCAGTCACATCTGAGGTTCAACAGGTGAAGGATCTGCTTCTGAGTTCATGTGATTGTTGGCAGCATTCTGTTCCTTTCAGGCTACTGGGCTGATGTCCCCAGTTTCTTGCTGGCTGTTGGCTGGAGGCTGCCCTTAGTTCCGTGCTGCGTGGACCTCTCTATAGGGCAGTTCACATCATGACAGCTTAGATCTTCAAGGCCAGCCAGAGAGTCTCCTAGCAAGACGGGTTACAGTTTAATAAAATCATATGCATCCTAAAACCTTTGCTTCATTCTATTGGCTAGGAGCAAGTCAGGTCCTGCCCACACAAGGGCAGGGACTTCATGAAGTGGGGGTTATGGGGGGTACCCAAGAATCTGTCTGCCACATCTTCCTTTTGGTCAGCATCTCTAATGAGAACAACTCCTTGAACCATCCCAAAGTTTGGCTCTCCATGAAGTTTAAGTCCATGAAGTTTAAGACAGCTGGGTTGAGGACTGACCCTTGGTGATTTCTCTAATCCTCCTTTCCTCCTGTGGCTCAAAAATTCTTTTCCCTCATTGAGAGAAACTCAAACATATTAGATACTAAGAATGTGCTCATTACCCCAGCACATCACACTTTACAGTGAGCTCTAGTGGACACAGCTAAGAACCTCTCCACATCCTGTTACACATATTTAAGCATGGTAATGAGGGATTGATCAGACTTTACAATAAATTTTATTTATTTATTTATTTATTTATTTATTTATTTATTTATTTATTTATTGAGATGGAGTCTTGCTCTGTTGCTCAGGCTGGAGTACAGTGGCGTGATCTCAGCTTACTGTAGCCTCCACCTCCTGGTTCAAGTGATTCTCCTGTCTCAGCCTCCCAAGTAGCTGGGACTACAGGCATATGCCACTGTACCAGGCTAATTTTTGTATTTTTAGTATAGACAGGGTTTTGCCATGTTGGCCAGGCTGGTCTCAAACTCCTGACCTCAGGTGATCTGCCTGCCTAGGCTTCCCAAAGTGCTGGAATTACAGGTGTTGGCCACTGCCCCTGGCCAACAATAACTTTAAAAAATAGCTTTATTGAGTTATAATTAACCTACTTAAAGAGTATAATTTGGCCAGATGTGGCCAAGGGTTCCATTCGCTCCACCTTCTCATCAACATTTGTTATTGTCTATCTTATTTGTTGTAGCCATCTTAATGGGTGTGAAGTGGTTTTGATTTGCATTTCCCCAATGGCTAATGATATTGAGTGCTTTTTCACGTGCTTATTGACCACTGTGTATCTTCTTTGGAGACATGCCTATTCAGATCCTTCTCTCTCTCTCTCAGACTGAACTTGGTTTTATTGCTTTAAGAAACCTATTATTTCTCATTTATCACCATCTAAGCTTTCTCTGTCTTCTTTAAAGTTGAACTCCCTTAGTCCCTGCTTCATTTTCCTCTCATAGCACTTTTCTCTATCTAGTCTACGACTGTACATACTGATTTTAATAGCTGTCTTAGCCTACTAGAATGTCAACTCCACGAGGACAAGAATTTTTGTCTCTTTTATTCACTTCTGTTTTCTCAGCATTTATAGTAGCACTTGGCACATAGCAGAGAATCATTAGATATTTGTAGAAAGAATGAATACATCCTTCTGGAAGCAACAAGAATGAAAATTAAATGACCTTTTCTCAATTTAAAATTAGGTTTACAATAACTCTTAATATATCATGAAAGAATCTGTGTTCATTGAAGAATACTTAGAAAGTATGCATAGGTGTAATAAAATTATAGATACCATTTAGCAAGCATACATTGCACGCACTGTGCTAAATTCCTTCTGTGCTTGCCCTAAGTCACACAGGTAAATATAATAGTAGCCACCAATGTTTATTGAGCTCCTATTAGGGACCAGGCCCTCTTCTATGTATTATCTCATTAATTCCTCCCAACAGCCGTCTAAAGAGGCTGCTACTATTATCATACTCATCTTTCAATAAAGAAACGGAGGCACACAGAGATGCTAAGTAACTTGCTCACATGCACGCATGCACACAGCTTGCTGGTGGCAGAACCATTGCCCTATACTGTTCTCTCTCTCCCTCTCTCTCTCTCTCTCTCTCTCTCTCTCTCTCTCTCTCTCTCTCTCTCTCTCTCTCTCTCTCTCACAGGGTCTCCCTCTGTTGTCCAGGCTGGAGTGCAGTGGCATTATCGCTTGAGGCTCACTGCAGCCTTGATATCCTGGGCTCAAGTGATGCTTTCACCTCACTCTCCTGAGGAGCTGGGACTACAGGCTGCGCTGCCATGCCCCACTAAGTTTTGTATTGTTAGTAGAGGCAGGGTCTGGCCACATTGCTCAGGCTGGTCTCACACTCCTGAACTCAAGCAATCCTCCCGCTTTGGCTTCCCAAAGTGCTGGGATTACAGGCATGAGCCACTTCACTAGGCTCTTGTTCTCTTTAATGCAAAATAATTAAGTGCCTTGAGGATGACTGGTTTCTTAATAAAAAATAGCAGAAACTTCCCCCAGAGGTCTCTTAAGACACAGGTTGTTTAACTTCTACTGACTCTATTTCTTTTCTGTTTCTTTTTTCCTTTCGTAAGCTTTGGGGAACATAGTAACTAATTTTTCCATACTCATTCATGTTACTGCAAAATTACTTGGAAGATGGTAAAAATGATGTCCTATTTGTCTACAGGTCCAAGAATCTTTTGGAGTAGGGTGGGGAATAATACCTCCTTCCTGTGGGAGGCAGAACAAAGTTTTGTTGTGGTTCTAAACTTCCAGAGCTTCACAGACCTGGCTTTAATTGCCTTTGCAATTTATTATCCCTGCGACTTTAGCCAAATGATTTAACCTCTGTGCTCACCTCACCGTGCTTGGCACAGAGTCAAGGATCTGGGGGCAGGGAGACAGGATTTCGGCACATTCCCCAGCTTTGCACCTGTGTGGTCTTGGACAAGTCCCTTACCTCGTTGGCCTAACTTTGCGCAGCTGTAAAATGGGTGAGACCCCAGGATTTCTGAGGTTTCTTCTGGCTCTGACGTTTTGGGCGCTGTGCCTACCTCCCAGCTGTGAAGAATGAGCACTAAGGCGATGTCTCGCTTACAAAATCATTTTTGTTGAAAACGATAAATGCCAGGTATGGATTTAGGGGGGAAATTGGGTGAGGCCTGGACCGCCGTGTGGGAATGAGATGCGCGGCTATATCTAGGCAGGGGATGGGCGTGGCGGGCGGCGGGCGGCGGGCCGGGTGTGCTGGCAGCGCAGCATCCCTGCGGGAGGAGAGGGCGTCTGCAGACTAGCACGGAGGCCGAGGCCCGGGAGGACCGCAGATGCAGCGGCTGCGCACTGGCAAGACCAGCCGGCCGATTTGCCTGTCTCCGCCCCTGCGACGAGCTGGTTGGGGGGGGCTGTTCGGCGCCGCGCTCCGATTGGCTGAGCAGCCCGCCGCTCAGTCCCCGTAGCGGACGGTTCCTACTGCGGCTGGGCACCGGCTCCGCTCCCGTGTCTACCCGCGCTCCAGCTGCGCCCGGCCCGGCCCCAGCCCGGCTCGGCGCGGCCCGGGCCTCTGAGCGAAGGCGCCGCTGCCGGTGGGCCGTTCACAGGGCCATGAGGAAGCGGCGGCAGCCACTGCGGCCCGCGTCAAGGTGACCGGCCGGGACTGCGGCGGCGGGGAGAGAGGCGGTGAGAGGCGCGGCCGGCGGGGCGGGGCGGGGCGGGCCCTGAGGCCGGGCCTGAGGGAGCTGCAGGTGCGGGGGGCGGAACCCTGAGGACCGCCGGACCCAGGGAGGGGCCTCGGTGCGGGAGGCGGGGCGGGGCCGTGCCTGCGTGTGCCGGGCGCTGGGGCCTGGCCGGGGTCCGTGGGTTCTGGAGTCCGGGGCCGGGGGCGCGCCGGTCCCCGGGAGCGTGAAGGACTGCGGGGGAAGAGGCGCGGGCGCGGGGGGCGGGGCCGGGGAGTCAGTTGGGCGGGGCACCGCGGCTGCAAGGTGCGGGGGGCGGGGCCGGCGGGGCTGCCGTGGGCGGGGCTGCGGGGTGCAGCCTGCGCGCCGGCCCGTGGAAGGCACAGGTGCGGGGGGCGGGGCCCGGGGACCTGCAGCGACGGGGGGCGGGACCCAGGCGGCTGCGGGGCGGAAGCAGGGCCCCAGGTGAGGAGCGGGCGAGGGTGGGTGGTCGCCGGAGAAGGGAAGGCCGCCCTCTCCGCTGCCTAGTAGGGCTTGGGTGGGAGCGAGGGCTTTGGGCTTCCTGCGGATTCTGGGGGCATCCAGGGCTGCCTGTGCTTCTGCTGACTCGGGCTTGGAGCTCAGCTACGCTGGTTACAGGCCGGCTGCCTCCCCTATGCCACGCCGCGCCCTAAGTGGGGCGCGCTGTTTTTCACACCTCAGGGGCTTTCCTGTTGCTGTTGAAGGGACAGGCCTGGATGCGGGGAAGGGGCAGGGGGTTGGCTGTCATTGGTGATAGGCTGTTGAAAAATGTGTGTGCTCGAGGGGTATTGTGAGGCTTGGAGGGGTCCTGGCTTGCTGGCTCCTGGTACCAGAAGCTGCTGTACGTCTCAGCAGTGTGTCTCAAAAAGATTGAAATGGCAGCCTGGTGAGTGGGGAGAGCAGGAATGAGAATTCAAGGTTTTGACTATGCTACCTGGGAGAGTTTTTCACTGTTTCCTCCTTTGCAAAATGAGCATCTTAGTACCTTCCTGTGTGCCTCCCAGGGGCCTGGTGAGGATAGGATGAAACAGTGCCTACTGAGCAAATCGCTGGGTAAAGTTATGAGTTTCCTTTTCCTTTTGCCAACAGGCAGGTTGGAGAGTCTAAAGAAGAGAGGGTTTGTTAAGAGGTGAGACTGGACCACTTTCTTTTCGCAGTTTGGGATGAGGTTTTGTTGGGAGTTCCCAAAAGACTCAGCTGTGTTTTGGATCGTGACTGCTTCTCCCTGTGAGGACTCTGAGGGAGCTGCTGCAACGTGGCAGTGGCAAGTGGAAGCAGAGCAGAACATTTGTTTGTTGACCTTTAGACCCCAACCCTGATGAGGACTCTGAGCTGGAGCATAAGGCTCAGGCCTGAGGCTATGGAAGTCCCTCTCCCGCCATGCAAGTACAGACCCCAATTTCACCACATTCCAAGAAGGCTGGGTGCGTTGGCTCACGCTTGTAATCCCAGCACTCTGGGAGGCCGAGGTGGGTGGATCATTTGAGGTCAGGAGTCTGAGACCAGGCCAACATGGTGAAACCCCCATCTCTACTAAAAAATACAGAAATTAGCCGGGTATGATGGTACGTGCCTGTAATCTCAGCTACTCAGGAAGCTGAGGCAGGAGAATTGCTTGAACCTGGGAGGGGGAGGTTTCAGTGAGCCGAGATCATGCCACTGCACTCCACCCTGGGCAATAGAGTGAGACTCTTCCATCTCAAAACACACAAAAAACTCGAAGACTCCCAAAAGAAGGTAATGCCAGGACTCCACTGGAGCAGGGAGAAAGCAGGAGGACGGGGCTCTTTCTGAATTTCGGAAGAGTGCTCTGTACCCATATATGTGACCTTTCAAAGCCCAGTGCTTCTGCTCACTGGCAGTTGACCAGTCCAAACTGTAATGCCTCCTGCCTTTGTTGCATAGACAGAAGAGAAGGTAGGTGGAGGTTTCTCTACTAACCTGCTTTTTTTTTTTTTTTTTTCCTCTCTCTCACCGTAGAAGATATGGGACTTTTGGGGGCTAGAAACCATGGTGCTGGCCTCCCTCATTACCACTGGTTGGTACAATGGTGACCCAGTGGCATTGAAGGGATTAGGCCCTTATTGGGGCCTGTGCTTGTGTGGCAGGTACCAGAGAATCTAGAAGCAGCAGGTGAGAGTTCTCCCACTCTGTCTTGGCAGAAACAGTGTTAATGGCTCTCAGAGACTGCTGCTCTCTGACCATCATGCTCTTTGGGTTAGAAGGAAAGCCCAAACTTGGTGGCAAAGAAGAGCTAGAACATGCGTTGAATAATGAGGGGATTGGCAACATTTAAGGTCAAGAGAAAGACTTCATTAATGAAAAATACTGCATCTGAGGCTCTCTGATGTGGTCCACCTCTTGAAATTGATTTTCCTTTTCAGTGTGAAGGGTAAGAGCTCTGACTTGGAAGACAGTCTGGTCTGTTTGAAACTGCAGGCTGCCACCTCCTGCTGAGTGAACCAGCACTACTTTCTTAGCTTCACAGAGCTTTGGTTTCTTTATTTGTAAAGCAAGGATAACCATACCCACCTTGTGAGGTAGTTATGAAGAATAAATGAGACAGGAGGGGGTAAGGCACCTGATCCACTTGGCCCTCATTGTTAGGGTCCTGTTCTGTCTTTCACTGCCTGCCCATCTTTCAACACAAGCCACTCAGAACAGCATGTAACATGCAAGGAGAGCAGGACAGGGAATTCTGAGGCCTCTACTTCTTATATAACCTTGAACAAATTCCTTCCTCTCTCCAGACCTTGGTTTTCTTAGCTGAGTGAGGAGGGTGTTAGACTATGTGATCCTCAAGAGTCCTTCTACCTCTAGTCTTCTGGTTAGCATGCTGTCATATTTTTTTCAGAGGCAGGAGGGAGGAAACTAATGACCTGTTGTTTAGTTCTTCTCTTAAAAATATCTGTCTAGCACCTTGCCTGGCACGCAGTAGTTGCTCACTGAATGCTTGTTGAAAGAACAGATGAAGGACTTTAACTAGAAAGAAGGTATGGCAAGTTGTCCCTGCTGCTTTTATGCATATGGTATCTATACCTTTAACATGCATTTTATTTATTTCACAAAAATATTGTAACATTAGTAAAATTAGTGAACCTCAACATAAAAGACAGAAGTTGTTGCATGGTTCCATTTCATCACACATTTAGTTCATTGAATTTTTGTTGATAAACATACATAATTCTTTATGGTTGCAATCATATGTATGAAAGCATTTGGGAAAGGCCCAGTAATAAATGGTTTCTTTAAATATAGTTTAAAACCTTTTTTTTTTTTTTTTAAGAGACAGGGTCTCTCTCTGTCACCCAGACAGGAGTGCGGTAGCGCAATCATGGCTCACTGCAACCTTGACCTCCCAGGCTCAAACGATCCTCCCACCTTAACCTCCCAAGTACTGTGCCACACCATCTGGCTAATTTTTAATTTTTTTTGTAGAGATGGGAGTCTCGCTATATTGCCCAGGCTGGTCTCCAACTCCTGGGCTCAAGTGATCCTCCCAGAGTTCTGGGATTACAGGAGTGAGCCACCACATCCAGCAAATACAGTTTTCATTTTATATTTTGAGGAAGTAAAAAAGTCACACATGGATTTTTTTAAGGAAAGTAGAGGAATAAATTGTAAAGTTAGTGTCTTTCTTGCCTCAAGTTGACAGTTCCTAGTCCTTTTCTCTAGAGGCAACCACTGTAACCAGTTTCTTGTTTATTATATATTCTTTCTCTTATGCAAAGAATAGCATTCTGTACATACTCATTGCTGCTTTATGTATTCACTTGATTTACTTTGGAAATTGTTCTAACAATGGAAAATATGTCAGTTGGTATGTACAGTTTCTTTCTTTCTTTTTTTTTTTGAGACAGCGTCTTGCTCTGTCTCCAGGTGCCAGGCTGGAGTGCAGTGGCACGATCTTGGCTCACTGCAGCCTCCGCTTCCTGGGTTCAAGCAATTCTTCTGCCTCAGTCTCCAAAGTAGCTGGGACTACAGGCATGCACCACCACGCCCAGCTAATTTTTGTATTTTAGTAGAGATGGGATTTCACCATATTGGCCAGGATGGTCTTGATTTCTTGATCGGACCTTGTGATCCGCCCACCTTGGTCTCCCAAAGTGCTGGGATTACAAGCAAGAGCCACTGCACTCAGCCACAGTTCCTTCTTAATAAATGTTTTTGACTGATAGAAGCGCAATTTTGTACCTCCACCCTTCACTCACCAATGAAGTTTACTCAGTATTGGTTAGCAGTCATTATTTAGAAGACTAACAAGAGACATCCTTTGTCCTCCTGTAGGAAAAAATGTGGCTTTGGTCCCAGTGAACAGTAGATTAAAGGGCAATCCATGTATCTGGATGCAAGGCAGAGTACAGAAAGAGAAAGGAAAAGGAATTTGTTTACTGGTAATTGAGAACTGATTTTTCCATTCAGGTCGTGATTCAAAGCCCAGCTCTGTCACTTACTGGCTGTGTGACTTGGAACAATTTACCTAATCTCTCGGCATCTTAGTTTCCATATCTGTAAAATAGATAATGGTAATAGGATCTATCTTCAGGGATTTTTGTGCAGAGGAAGTGAGATCATGCAATGCAAAGTACATATAGCAATAGCAGGTCATAGTAGGTGTTTAAGAAGGATGAGCTGCTGTTATTAATGATCTGAAATAGACTCTATTTTTTGTGAGCAGATATTTACTGGACATTTAAGGGGGATCCATGGAGAATGCCTAAAGTCCTTGCCTTTGAGGTGCTCACATGCTCTGTATGGAGATTGGCACACAAGTCATGGATTACCGAACAGTATAGTGGGCCAAGTGGTGGGAGGTGAGCAGTGTGTAAGGTCGAAGAGGCAGGGAACAATGACTTCTCCCTGGGGTGATTTGGGAATTGCCTCCTCAGCTCAAATTTTCCCTCCTTTGTGAAACCGACTTAATTTTTCCAGGCACCCTCCTATTTTTACTTTCATTCTGTGTGTACCTGGATCAGAGCACACGCCTTGTTATTGCATGTGTGACTTTTTGCCTGTGTCGCTACTCTGCACAAGGAAAGTCTCCTGCTTTCTTTGCTGCTGGATCTCCAGGGCTTGGCACAGGTAGGCTCTTTTTGAACAGTGTGATGGACTATGCTGAGACAAATCATGCTACTAAATGGTGTCAAATTTTTATTTATATGTCACCATGTCTCTGGTGAAACTTATTCTCTGGACTCTACTTCTTTGCTCCCCCAGTATTTGAGTGCTGGCTCTGAGACAGGCATGTGCTGTGCTGTACGCTAGCTGTAGGCTTTGGGTATGGCTGGTGATACTTGTCCTAAAAAGTCTTAGGGATGGGGAAGAAAAATATTTGTTGCAGATGCTGAAAGTCAAGATAAGGAAGCAGAAAAATGGGCAAGTCAGAAGTGAGCCGCTCATGCTTGCTGAAACTCACCTCTCCTTTCCGCAGAAGTATGGCTGCTCTCCCTTCCCTTGGGCTGGGATGTGGAGGAGCAAGCCAAAGAGCCGAGTAGGTGGCTCATAGATTTTAACTGAGGGGAAGAGTTGGTTGGATTGGCTTCTGTGAGGAATGTTTCTGGGCCTCCTTTCTTAACAGAGAATATGCTTGATTTTCTTCAGGTGGGCATTCATTAACCTGCCTTGCTGGGTTCTTGCTTTGGGCTAAGCCTTGTACTGGATGCTGGACACATGCAGATGAAGCTTTGTCTCTGCCTTTTGGGACCTCACAGTCAGTGGAGAAGTCACCCACAAACAGAAGGTGACTGAAGGTGATTGGCCGTAACAGAGAACTTCTTGTGAAGTAGCTGAGCAGATTCAGGCTCAGAGCCTGTTCAAATCCTACCTCTGTCACAGACAACCTGTGTGACCATGGGCAGGTGTCTTCCCAGCTCTGAGTCTTGGTTTACTGATTTGGTAAAGTGGGGATAGCAGTATTTCCTAACATAGGGCTGCTGAAGATTTCAGTGAAATAATGCAGTGCAGTGTTTAGCACAGTGCCTGCCAGGAAGCTAATGCTTACAGAGTGCTCACTGTTGTATTTATACATGGTGCTGTGGGAGAACCAAGAACTACCTCTTGAGCTGTTTCCTCTGGGTCCTAGTGATAGTGTAGTAGTCATGGTGAAAGTAGGCATTGAAGGTGAAGATG